ATGTAAATGTACTTACTTTATATTGTTGTGTTTCAGTTTCTTTCTTTACCGTGAATAAAGAATAATGCAGAGACAAAGGGTTAATATCTGTGGTTAATTTATAAATATATGTTATATTTGTGTGTATTTTTCAGACCCACAGTGTTTGTCCTCAGCCACTCACACTGCAGACTGGATCCAAAGCAACTTTGGTTTCTTCTCAACTTTCGCCTCCATCTCAGACTTTTACAGTCTCAACTCAAACTTCTCCGGAGTAAGTCTGGAAAACCCGACACGCTTCATCTATAACCGACTTCACTGACGCCTTTAGATTGATGTAAATATTTTCTTCTCTTTTGTCTTCTGTCCAGCTGGAGGTTCTTCCCCTGTTGTCTCCAAAGCAGACGGCAGAGATGCTGCTGATTCCTCTTCCCACTCCACCTGAGAAAGACGTTGTCATTGATCGAGTGTTTGACTTCCTGTTGGAGTCCCCTGAAGACAGGAAACTCGTGGAGGTCCTGCACTACCTGGTGGAGCTTGCCAAAGAGGTAACGGCTTTGTAATGATACAGTAACTTTAATGCTTTTTGGGAAAATTGGATGATTAATTGTAAAATATATTCAAATTCCCAGGTTGAGCCACCCTGTGGTGTCTACAAACAAATGTGAGTACTTTCAGATTATATTTTGGTGTAGCAATCTATATTGATTTTCCTTTAAATGTGTAATTTCTGCCGCTAAGAGATGAAGTTTAATTACGTGGTGGTTGACAGGTGACTGGTGAAACGCACCTTTGCCTGAATAGAATTAATGATTCTTTCTTTTGAACATTGTTGGAAACATTTGGGATAATGTAACTTCACAACTGAACAAAATATATAACATAGGTCTGGTGTTTATAGACATTGTAATGCAGAAATGTTATATATATTATAGCTTCAAATCCAAAATAAATGAGTAAATGTAGCCAGTATACACACAAGACAGCTGCAGTGTTCAAATGATTACAATTATGAAAGATACCCTACCTCCATCATATTAATATACATACTATGACATATTACATTTTCTGGAAAATTAGCTGAGAATGTCGTGTACCATATAAAATAAGCAAATTAATTACTTGACAAAAAATATCCAATATTGACTTTCCACAGTGGGACATGAAGAAAGTTTGGGAACCACTTCATAAACCAGTTATTATTAGATTTATTTATATTGAAGTTATTTCCCTAATACTTATTCATTTATTTATTTGTTATTTAGACATGTATCACAAGTGTATGCTTTTTCCTCACCTCTCTGATGACCCCCCATATTTGAAAAGACTCTAACTCTTGTATCCCATTATCGTCTATCACTATGTTATTTTTGATGCAGAGAAAATACATTTCAATCCATTTCATGTTGCTTTAGTTGGGCCATGACTTCTCCAAATGCTAAATAAATGTTTCTTTTTCTATTTGTGTGTCAGTTTTGAGAGACTGTACGGAGCCATACCATCTCTGCCACCAAGCATTGAACCTGTCACCTGGGCTGCCATAGATGGCCTGATATTCATGGCACCAGAGGGTCAGTCTCATACACAGAAAAACCTTTTAACTTGACTGTAATGTTTAATGGATCTTTTCTAATTTCCTCAGCCAGGATGAGTCCTTATTTTATTTTGTAGATGTTTTTTCTTTTTAAATTAGTATTTGAAATGTTAGCACGTGCACACAACAGTTGACTGAATATTGTTTTCTATATTTCGATTTGTTCAGAGTGCGTGCCAGAGAACATTGCGGTGAGATTTCTTTAAATTTGCTTAACTTATATTTCCAATTAATCTATTTTACTTGTATTTTGGAGTTTATGTTTAAAGTTTACTGATAAATTATTTTAATGGTCCATAACATTTATTAAATCTTTCATTCACAGTGCCCAGTAACCCAGTACAACGGTAAAAATCTCTTTTGGTCTCATTTAATCACTCATTACATTACTATGAGTGCTTATAGAGCTAAAATCTTTTTTTTTCTGCTATTTGACAGTTACTAACATCTGCAGAGGAATTAACAGGTATCCCATTTTATGATTTGTATCCAAAATTGCAAATAATATTAAGTTTTAAAAGTCTCTTTTCTGACATGTATTCTGCTTTTTCTCCTGTATTTACAGCTCTGACCTGCAATCTTACTTGAAAACATCTATGGAAGTTTCTTGCAATTTTACCTTGGAGACATATGCATGTGCACAGGTGACGATCTCATTTAAAAGACTTAAAGTAAAATACTGTATATACTGTGAAATGACAATAAAGACTAATATTTGATTTGATTTGAAGTCATATTGGAAATATTTTTTTAAATGAACTGTCTCACACATACAGCTGGAGAACTTCACAGCCAATCAGCTGGTGTCTCTTCTGAAGTGTAATTTGCCTGGAAACAGCAGCCACTCTAAGGTGCTGTGGAAGCTGCTGCTGACTAAACTTTCCTCTGTTTTGGACCCAGCTCTGGACATCTTGGCTAACATGGTGAGAATATTTTTAACCCTCTGATTCAGACACACACACAACTTATTTACAGGATTATTAAAGTGAATAATTTTAAATGTATTAGACCAAAAAAATTAAAAATCGTTTAGAAGAAGGATAGCTCCAATTGACCCTTCGTAAAGCCCCGGCCTTTTTTGGACCTCGGTCAATGGTTGCCTTTCCTGAACTGCTATATGCTATATGCTATGTGCTAGGCTTATCTATGTTGAAAAGACAACCACATTTTCAAGATGGTTAAAAGCAACAAATGCATAATCTCATTTGAATTTAACTAATGATCTGAGCAATAAATCAGAATTGAGCTCTGAGGCTTGCAGATGATCCTAGCACAGGGGTGTGATTTAGGAATGGTAAGTTATTGCAATCGATAATGATTCAATCAACTGATCTCCCCTACAGTCCATGACCATGGTCGGTCCGTCAGCGTCTGTGATTTTGGACGTGATTGGAGAGATCAGATTGTCGATACTGACGGATGAGCAGCTGATGAACAGCAGTGTCATCGAGACGTGGTTCTCCGACCGTCTGAGCGGGTTCCTGCCGTCTGCATCAGGAATGTTCCTGCACTGTCTGAGCAGCATGAACCTCAGCTGTCATTCATACCAGCAAATGTAAGCAAATGTCCACAGACTCCCTCACCTCACATCAGAGATGCTCTATCATAGCAACATGGATATTACCTTATATCACACTTCATCCTTTATCTAGTTGCCTACAGCTCATTCTAAGGCAACAAAAACTTAACGATTCCTATATTATGATTATACTTAATCATACCTGCGAATATTGTATTTGATTTTTTGCCAGTAGATCCTGTTTTTTTCTTTTATGTTAACAATGGGTCACCTGACTCTGCAGTTCCTCTCATGGGAGCATTTTAGCATCTTTCAGCTAATTTTGGGGGGGTTCTGTATCCCATTGTATCCCACTGTTTTGGTTCATTCTCACGGCTGTCATCAATATTGTTTTCAGCAGGTGGCAGCTGTTTTCTGTGAAAAAGACAATGTACATTACCTGCCCAGCAACTAGTTGGTGAACATAGGGGAGCATTTATCAGCTAAACAGCCTGATATTGTACATTGTAGTTAGAGGAAAACAAAATAGAGCGAAAAGGAGAGAGAATAATGGTTGTCATTCATTCAAGTGGACAGAAACACAGCAAAATGAATGTTTGTAATCTGTTTGCTAACTAAATATTCATAATAAATCAGTGTTGTGTTTACAGCTTTTTCTGCTGCCCCCAAGTGGCAAAAAATCTAGTTAGTGCAGGTTTCAGGAAGTAGGAAGATATTCTTCTAATGCTAACAGGCTAACGTTAGCCTTAAAATATCAAGAGCTCATCTACGGCTGACGAGTCTGAGATGTTAATTGCCACCATGCAGCCTGTTTGATTTAGGTTACGACAAAGACTCCCTCCTGGTGTCTCTGTTTTTCATCCAACTGACAAAATAGTGTGTAGTGAGAGTTACAACCTCTTGATTTTAAGACCATTTTTCATCATTAAATTACCCTCATTATCTAATATTTGGAATTCTATGGTTGATTTTATTTTCAGACTGGAGGAATTTATCGACCCTTTTGACAACATGACCTTAGAACAACAGCATGTGGTGCTCAAGGATTTCATCTTTCGTTTCCTGTCGCACTCAGGTACTGAAGTGAATCACTATAATGATGTGACTATTTTCAGAACTACTTCATCTTTCTAAACTCAAGAGCTAAAAAATGTGTTCGCATTTAGAGAAATCTCTTTATTTTTATGACTTTGGTCTAGGTCCAGACTGTGTGTCGGCCTCCAACGGCAGTGTAGATTGGTTGATGAAGAATCTGGGTCCGTTTTCAAGACTACTGACCGTCAGAGAGCTGGTTCATCTCAACCCAGACTT